TTTCAACAAGGGTTCTACAGTGATCCCAAGTCCCCAAGCTTTCATTTGATACTAAAACTACCCAAATATTCCCACTATTGACAAGGACACAGCTATGCGTAGGAACTATTTTGTTTAAAATATGTACTACTTTCTTGTATGTTCTTTCCGACCGGGCCTGAATTAGTGGTTCTATACCTATAACAGCACCAAACTTGTTATAATGACTTCTGCTTGACTTAATTTCCTTCTATGATCTATTTCTAGCATAGAAAAACACATCAAGCTTTTGTCAAAACACTATATCACTGAATTCAAGCTCAAATTGGACTGGTAGTAGCATATGCGTTAAACAAAGAAAACTACATATAGATACTAATAGTGACAGATATGACACTTTTTCAATTTTTACCAGTTCTGATTTGTTAATATCTACTCAAATAACAGTGTTCTTACCTATATGTCTTATTTTTATCAGAGATTCTTCCTTGAATATAAAAACAAAGGTCCAAACATAAAATAAAATTGATAGTTTTGTCCCCCCTTTTTTCTACATGTTGGAAAAGGAGAGTGATTTGGTAAAAAACCATACTTTTATGTATAAACATGGATCAACAAGAGCAATTTATGTATCTCCAAGCTAGACAACTTGCTAAAATGGTTATAAAATGCATTTCAAGTGAGATTTTGGAAATCCTGTATAAGTATACACCAATTTTCCTTGAAATAAATAATTCACTAAGAAACACAATAAAACATGAACACTCACTAGATAATTTGACCAAAAACAATATTTATACTGTAAACTAGTCATGATATACAAGTCTCATTGGTTTCAGTGTTAGATAATCCAAAAATTTAAATTTCAGGTAAAATCTTAACTGTGTGCATGCTAAATGACCAAAAAAGGCTAAAATACCTTATTGTAGCAATTTGAGGGTTGTAATTTGACACTAACATAATTGTTACATAAAAAAAATAATGTAACATGATTTCTGATAACAAATGTGACCAATTTTCACTGTAAAGGGTATGATTTCTAAAAATAGAATTTCACATGCCTGTCAGTAATAGGTATAAAACCACTAATTCATAGCCCCATTGCTTTCTATGTTAATTTCTGCAATTTCAAGCATTAATGGCTACTTTGTCTTAAGTTCAAATAAAGTGGCAGTTATTTCATGTCAAAACTGTACCTTATCCTGTCTTGTGGTGAAAAAATCAGCATACCTTTAATTGCATTTTAGAGCATACTGGTTCCCGGAAGTTTGATAGTACAAAAACAGGAACTTCTGATATGAACAACAGGCCAAATGAGCCCTCCTATTCAAATTTCATATACTTCTTTATTATTCAAATAAAACTTTCAACAAGGGTTCTACAGTGATCCCAAGTCCCCAAGCTTTCATTTGATACTAAAACTACCCAAATATTCCCACTATTGACAAGGACACAGCTATGCGTAGGAACTATTTTGTTTAAAATATGTACTACTTTCTTGTATGTTCTTTCCGACCGGGCCTGAATTAGTGGTTCTATACCATAACAATAATTCAATTATATGCGTTGCACACTTTCGTGTAAGCTTGTGACTGGTATGTTTCCTGTCCAGTAGAAAATTCGACTATAGCAACAATCTATCATCAAAATAATGGATTCATGTATAATAATATTTAATTGTGTAAGATGATGTGATAAATGCCATAATTTCATCAAACGGAGACACTGTTGACAACAACTCATCCATTGATTTCTCATCAGCAGTGTAATGATATAAAATCTCCAACATCCATCGACACTTTACCTTTAGGAAATTTATATGAAAGATCTATAGTGATCTATCGTAAGGAAACTTACACGAGTCTATATCACTATACTTTCAATATTTCTTGATTGACTGATTGATTTTCAATAAATTTTACGTAACCTTTCATCCATTAGGGGGTGATAGATGTCGTGAGTGTCAGAGATTGTAAACTGTGATTTCTCGAAATAATGAACGGTTTTAGACTGAGATCACAGTCTCTGTGCAATTTCAAAAGGAGGCGTCCTAGTAATTTTAGACTTGAGACACTAAGCCGATCGACATGGTCCAAAGAGGACTATTTTAGACGACGCGCTTCAAGGTACAGTAATTTGTATGTTCTTGTCATGGTAATTGTGTGTTTTATGTACTTGACCAATTCCATTTTTACGGGAGAGCCATTGAATATTTTTAAAATGTTAATTTAATATTTTGTCTTTTTATGTATTAATACTTTTGGTTCTGCTGTCACCATTGATAGTGAGATAAGGTCCGGTGGTATCATCTATCCCTTTAGCCTTACACGTTATACTGCATATATAATGTAGTTGAAATTCACTGATCCTGATTTCTGAAAATTAATTGCCCTAAACTACACATGTCCTTTGACACATTATCCATCTTTATATGTTTTGTTATGTATGTCAATTTTTTCTCTCTCTAAATGAATTTACACAGTATCTAGTTTATAACAGGTGATTTTGTTATGTATAATGTATAACAAAACTTATTGTACGGAGATCTCTTTATAACAATAATAAAGAGTAAATGAATGTGGAATAATATATAACAAAAAAAATAGATAAATCTGTTTAGAGATAAGTGACCAGATTGTTGATTTATGTAAAGTCGATTCGACTTATATGAAAAGAAATGTTCAGATTATATAAATAAAAAGGTGATTATAAATTATAATCCCATTAAGGAAGCAACCTAGCAACATATAACCAGGTCTAATTCCAGGAAATTCAGGTATGAACAAATTCAACAGAGACTATCACAATCCTGATGTCGGCACCGAATTCATAAAGGGGCTTAATAAGAGAAAACAACAATACACCACAACGTTTTTGAAAATAAAATTCCTGGATTCAAGTCCCCTAAATGGCTTCTTTCTGACCTTTTATTAACTATTAGGGCTTTCAGTGTGACATTTTTTTTTGATCGGCATCTATCTATTTCTAACCGGTAGATACCTGTTAAATTAGAATTTATCACTTAGATACAAAAAGTGTTGCCAATGACGAATTCGACACATACCTGTGTATAGTGCTTAACAATCAAGTAATAACAATATTATTTTCTTGTTGTAAATCCAGTCCCGTTCAGACTTTTTCGCTTGCAGTAAATTCAGTACGGTTCAGTAGCCTTTCCGACAATTCAGTATGTTGTTGACGTGTACATGTAAATAACTATTGTACAATCTGAACTTAGATTGAACATATCTTAATTGACTGCTCGTCTGAACAGTACTGCATTTACCGCAATGGATAAGTTTAAAACTGACTATAAGACTGGAAATGATTTAATAATTTAATGTTTAGTCTTTTCAGAACTTCTAGATCAAAATTGGTTTACTACTGCTACCCAGCATAATTACTTCGTACTCGAGAAGTATCCTGTTCGATAATAATTGTTAAACACACTATGAACCGAACGATTATTTGGATAGAAAAAATGTTACTGAGTTTAAAATTTACAGCTCTATATTTCATATGATTATGATAAGATAAGTTAAGGTGTCAGTTAAAACACGGGTTACAAGTCATAGAAGTCGTTTATTACTACAAGAAAACCCACTGTTTTGGTAAAAAAAATAAATGAAATAAACAAATACTTAGTACTAACGTTACAGTTATCTATACCATTGAAAAGTACATACATGATCTAGATAAAAAAAATCTACTACCTTAAACGAACAAAATAACTATGCTCCTTTGAGATTTGCAGGTGCACTATTAAACCCGGTCGCATTCGGTTACCTTTAAATAAGATATTTAATCTCCTAGAATACTGGGTGCCTCAAGTTTAGTTATGTAACTTGAACTTAAAAGAATATTATGCAAGATCATTTCTCTAATTTAAAAACAATGTTGCAAGTTGATACAACTATCATTTGTACATTGTTATAAAACAATGTTGCAAGTTGATACAACTATCATTTGTACATTGTAACAAAACAATGTTGCAAGTTGATACAACTATCATTTGTACATTGTAACAAAACAATGTTGCAAGTTGATACAACTATCATTTGTACATTGTAACAAAACAATGTTGCAAGTTGATACAACTATCATTTGTACATTGTTATAAAACAATGTTGCAAGTTGATACAACAATCATTTGTACATTGTTATAAATTAATGTTGCATGTTGATACAACTATCATTTGTACATTGTTATAAAACAATGTTGCAAGTTGATACAACAATCATTTGTACATTGTTAAAAATTAATGTTGCATGTTGATACAACTATCATTTGTACATTGTAATAAAACAGTACAATAGAAGTGACTTCTGGGTAATATAGATCTGGAAATGTTAATTCTTTTTCAAATATGGATCACATGTAGATTTTGTTTATTCTTCATTGGCTAGAGGCATAGGGTGGGGTTGAGATCTCACAAAACATGTTTAACCATAGTGCATTTTTGCGCCTGTCCCAAGTCAGGAGCCTCTGGCCTTTGTTATTCTTGTATGTTCTTTAATTTTAGTTAATTTATATGTTAAGTGTGTCGTCCATTTTCATTGAACTAGTACACATTTTTGTTTAGGGCCAGCTGAAGCCCGCCTCTGGGTTCGGGATTTTCTCGCTGTGTTGAAGACTCATTGGTGGCCTTCGGCTGTTTTCTGCTCTTTTGTCGGGTTGTTGTCTCTTTGGCACATTTCCCATTTCCATTCTCAATTTTATTCATTCTTGAAAAAATAAATCAGTATTGTAACGACGTTTGACCTTTTCATGGTACAAGATACATCATCATTAAACAAAACAACAGAAAATAAATGAAATATTACTCCCAAAGGTATCTTTAGATTTCGCGCCAGTCATGTATTTATAGAAATACTCTACCAGAAGTATCATTAAGATGCCGATGACTTTAATGCTTTTCTAAAGCCAACAACATTTTGTCAACAAGTTAGAAACAAATTAATTCAGTGTTGTAAAGTTCTTTCATAATTACGACGTTAATACTTAATTTTCTTTTTTTCAGTTCCCCGGCGTCCGATTTAACATTTCGACGTGATGTTTTCAGCAGACGACAGTACGGGTCTGTTGAACTGGTGAGTTTTATCTTTGTTTTTCTTAATTTTCTATAATCTGCACATCAATCGCCGTGAAACTTTTTTCAAACAAAACAACTGAAACAATTAAATGATTGTTTGTTTGATAAGCTTCCAATTGTCTTGTCCCCTTAACAGAGATAAAAATATAAGCACAGAAACTGCAAACGGCAATCAAACTAAACAAGCTAGGGTTATATGAACCCTTGAATAGAGGTAATAGTGACCTTTGAAATAGCCAATATAGATGGCATCACATATATTCTATATGTATCGCACATATCGTATTTTATAAGAACATTGTTATTTTTTTAACAACCGCAATGCGTCGTGTGGGTTTTATAATGTTGTAAGTCCATCTGTCTTAATGTTGCAAAGTTCAAGATGAAGTTTAAAAGCACAATATGTGACTGAAATATGAATAGCTATTTAGGAATCGAATTTATAGACTTGAAGTGCAACTCTCTGATCCATTGTTTTCTTTAAATTAACAAGTACCTTAAATAAACACAGCACCCTCTTTTCTTGAGATAAAAAACTGCAATACAAAAACATGTCTTTTTGAGAAATTGTTTTTAACATTTCTGTTTGAGATAGATTATATATTGTTAAATTCTGTAATATCATCAATTCTGTAATGCGTGATTTGCTCAGTATTACTCATAGATTAAGTTCAAATCATGCAATTTTTTTAGCATAGTATTACTAAGATAATTCTGATTACAATTTGTTTTAGAGCAAATATATCTGACAAATCATGTAGATACAACTCTATTTTTCTCTAAACATTCGGTATCCAACTAGATGAATAAGGTATTATAATCTTATTGGAGTGTGGTGATATAACAGTTTAGTTCTGACCATTGTACCTTGGATCTCAAATATAAAGCTTTCTCCGTTATTAACAATAATGGACATAGAACAATATAACACTCACACGACGAACGACAGCACATTTAAAGAATAAGTCATTCCAAAACAATACATCTTTAAATTTTGCATATTATACTGGTCATTTAGAACCTACTTCTTTTTTTCAGTTTTAATTAGGTCACTATAGATGAATTGCATGAATTACTATATGAATTTGGAGGAAGAGCAAAATTTAAATTGAAGTCTTTGATCTTTATATATCTCGCAAACCACATTCAAAATTGATTTTGTTTGTGGTTGTGAAAGTAAAGGTTTTAGAAAATTGAAGTCGATGGTAGTCTTTAATAGAGGTACTAATTGTTCAAAAAAAAAATACTGATATTGATGGTATATAAAATAACTAATAACTTGATCGAAATTTTTCTTTTAAAATATTTTGTGCAAATGTTGATATAGTCCAGGAAATATCAGAAAAACCCTGCACAATGTGGTAAAAGCATGAAATTTGGTATATAAGCGCCTAGCACCATTCTAAGCCAAATAAGATATGGAGCCAACCTGAAAAAAATCAACTTCCGGTTTTGTCCAAGATGGCGGACAAAATTGCAAAAATTCTAAACTAAATATCAAAGAAACCGTACACAAGGTGGTAAAACAATGAAACTTTGTATATTATCTCTTTAGACCCTTCTAACCAAATAAAGATATGAAACCAATATGAAAAACTATCAACTTCCGGTTTTTTCCAAGATGGCGGCCGAAATAACAAAAATGATAAAACAAGTCAATAGGACGTTGCAATATTTACAAAAAAAATATATCAGATGAGTAGAATTGAAAGTAATATATATATAGTAGCTGTTATATGCAATAAGACGTTCATTCATCCTGTTTGTGTCGGTAAACCCTATACTCTGCAGTCCATCAGGCACAATCTCCTTGTACACTTGCATAAAGCTGTACACGGAAGGGCGGATTTGAAACACTAGCACTGTCCTCGACAACCTTTCTTGCACCCACAGTGAACAACCTCCTGTAGTGAAGAGGCTGCCTCTGCCAATATTGTCCAGACCGGTTTCTTACATGCGTTGTCTAGGGATGGAAGAACAGGCTGTAAAAGCAAACATTGTAATCAAATCAATCCAGCTTGGTACACAGAACGTTTGCATGTTGGTAAAGTGCATCTTGTGTTGGTGGTACAGACTCAATAAATCTATCTTTATGTGCAAAGATTACTTTTCTAGCTTTATTTACATTTTTTTTGTTTTGTTTGGATTCACTTGTCCGATGGTACAAAAGAACAACGTATCGCTCCAGCAATGGTAGAATTAAATCACGGCATATTGTACTTGGTTGGTCTGTCATCTGTCTAAAAGCAGCTGATACCTCGAGGAAAGCATCCCATGTATCCCATGCTGTAAAACTGTTGGTTCTTTACATAGTAAACCGGAATAGCGATGTTGGACGCGTTGATGTAGTACGGGACACATATGTAGAAAACAGTCTCAAAAGTGCAACCAGAGAAAAGAGGGGGAAGGGAATTCGAAGGCAAGTTCAAGCTCAAACAAATATCCATAAGAACTGGCATGGCTTTCTACGGGTTGATGAGAATAAAAGGGAGCTGTTTCAGTTTCTATCGGAAAAGTTGGCAGAAGTAGCAAATACTGAAAAGAAAGTTATCTGTACAGTCGGAGAGAATGTGATTTCAAACCAAGCACACATAGACAAGTCAAAACTACATCCGTGCAAACACGAAGAAGCAGATACGAGAGTTATGATTCACGTTGCAGATGCAGTCAGGGATGGTTTTATAAAGATCAGCATTAAAACTGTAGATACAGACGTTATTGTGATCGCTATATCTGTATTTAAGGACACAGAAGCTGGTGAGATATGGATAGCATTTGCAACCGGGAAACATTTCCGTTGCATTCCTATTCATGATATTGCACAATCTTTGGGTCCTCTTAAATCTAGGATTTTACAAATATTCCACGCAGGTTGTTAAAATGTATCTTTATTTGCAAGACGAGGAAAGAAAACAGCATGCGATACATGGAATGCTTTCCCCGAGGTATCAGCTGCTTTTAAACAGATGAGAGACAAACCAAGTACAATATGCCGTGAATTAATTCTACTATTGCTGGAGCGATATGTTGTTCTTTTGTACCATCGGACAAATGAATCCAACAGTGTAAATGAAGCTAGAAAAGCACTCTTTGCACATAAAGGTAGATCAATCGAGTCTGTACCACCAACACGAGAGGCACTTTACCAACATGCAAACGTTATGTGTACCAAGCTGGATTGATTTGGATACAGTGTTTGCTTTTACAGCCTGTTCTTCCATCCCCAGACTTGTATGGTTGGAAGAAGGTCCGGGTACACAGTTATCGTCCTTTGATTTTCGTTGTAGTCCCTATAGTCCCTAGTGTGCATAGTGTGTTACTTGTCGATTTTTTTATACCCCTTTCAAATTTATTTCTCCATGTTTTATGACTCAAATAGTAAGTAGGGGGGTGAAATGACACTGTAAAAAAATTTGGGTCATGAATTTTAAAGTAAAGTAGTGATTTGGTCTAGCTGAAAAATGTTAAAAATTAGCACTTCGGAAGCTGTCAAAAGATTTGAAGACCCCCTTAACATGAAATTGTCCATATTTTGAGTGAGAGCCGATGAAGTTTTCTATAATTTTGATATAATTTGTCCCAAAAGTTGTACAACACACTGTAAAAATATTATTGAGAAAGAGCAGGTGGGTTTTTTTTAATTTTCATTTATTGTCTAAAAGAAATGCACTACGAAATAACTGTGTACTCGGACCAGAAGCAAGACAACGGCATGTAAGAACCCGTTCTGGACAATATTGGCAGAGGCAGCCTCTTCACTACAGGAGCTTGTTCACTGTGGATGCAAGAAAGGTTGTCTAGGACAGTGCAAAGGTTTCAAATCCGCCCTTCCGTGTACAGCTTTAGGCAAGTGTGGGGGAGATTGTGCCTGATGGACTGCAGAGTATAGGGTTTACCGACACAAACAGGATGAATGAACGTCTTATTGCATATAACAGCTACTGTATATATATATTACTTTCAATTGTATTCATCTGATATATTTTTTTTGTAAATATTGCAACGTCCTATTGACTTTTTTTTATCATTTTGTTATTTCGGCCGCCATCTTGGAAAAAACCGGAAGTTGATAGTTTTTCATATTGGTTTCATATCTTTATTTGGTTAGAAGGGTCTAAAGAGATAATATACAAAGTTTCATTGTTTTACCACCTTGTGTACGGTTTCTTTGGTATTTAGTTTAGAATTTTTGCAATTTTGTCCGCCATTTTGGAAAAAAACGGAAGTTGATTTTTTCAGGTTGGCTCCATATCTTATTTTGCTTAGAATGGTGTTAGGAGCTTGATGCTTTTACCACATTTTGCAGAATTCTGATGAAAAATAAGACTTAGTTGCTTGACTAATAGCAGATCTTTTATAATCTCTGTTTGATCTATTCGTAACTTGGGTAGACTCGGTGTGAATTAGAGCTAATATATAGTTGTCTTTTGTTGAAGACTGCATAATTCCACCGAACTGTTTTTTTTTTTCGTGAAATAAGGGGTTTACGCCCATATATATATGTAGGACTCGGAACCGCGATGGTACTCCGAACCGCGATGGTCACACTGAAGTGTGATGGTCCACGCTGAAGTGCGTTGGTTAATACGCTGAAGTGCGATGGTGAAATTGTGACGTTAACTTGTTGATAGCTACGTTGAAGTGCGATGGTGGATACGCTGAAGTGCGATGGTGGATACGCTGAAGTGCGATGGTCCACGCTGAAGGGCATTGGTTAACACGGTGAAGTGTGATGGTGATATTGTAACGCTAACTTGGCCTGTAAAATTGAGTAAAAAACAAAATGTACGTGGGCTGCTTAAATCAAATAACATCAATAAGATTTGACCAAAGTAGCTGCTAGCCTCGCATTTGGGAGATCGTTTAATTTCTGTTCTGGTCAAACCAAAGACTTTAAAATGTATTTTTTTTAAATCTAATTTCAAATTTGCCAATTCTCCTATTAGCACGGAGTCAGAAAATAGAATGGATGGCTCAGGTAAGTATGATGGGTTTGAG